TCTGACATAATTACACTTTGTGTAGCTGGTTGATTTGATTTTTTACCTTTTCTGACATTTAAAAAATTTGCTCAAAATTTGCATTAAAACTAGATGGAAACACAGCTAGTCTCTCCAGTGTGTCCTGGGTCTTCTCCCAGTTGGACATGCCTAAAGCACTAGAGGCATCCAGGAGGCGTCCTAACCCGAACCACCTCAACTGGCTCCGCTCGATGTGGAGGAGCAGRGGCTCTACTCTGTCCCTCCTGGATGACTGAACTTCTCACCCTAAGGGAGAGTCCAGCTACCCTGTCYAGAAAACTCATTTTGACTGCCTTATCTGAGATCTTGCTCTTTTGGTCACTACCCAAAGTTTGTGAGCATGTTTGAGAGTAAGAATATGGACCAACCGGTAGAGAGCTTTGCCTTAAAGCTCAGCTCACTTTCTACCACAATAGACCAGTAGAGTCCGCAATATTACAGAAGACGCACCAATCTATTTGTCAGTCTCATGCCCTATTTCCCCCACTTATTTATTACATTGTATCAGTGTATGTTTAACTGAARTGAAATACAGTGCATAGTAGTTTGCTGTTTTACAGCATTTCCAGCATATTTCTGATGCCTTTCAGACATAATTTTTTTTCCAAAATCCTGATCTCAAACATTCGTCTCAGCAGGCTTACCTCAGGAGGTTCTACAGTCTGAACCTCCAGGAGCACCGAGGTGGAGCGAGGAGGATCAGGTCTGCATCTGCTATGGAGGAAAAGATCCGAAAGATGCAGAGCTTCTTTGGTCTGAGAGAAACTGGAAGCCTGGACTCTCACACGTTGGACGTGATGAGAAAGCCCAGATGTGGCGTTCCAGATGTGGACAACTTCAGCTTTTACCCCTATAAGCCTAAATGGAACAACCACACCATCACATACATGTAAGAGAGATGTTGTGGATTTCTTTTCATTGTTTCTTGTAAACTACTGATGTGGAATTAATTGCGTCTGAAGCTTTGTGTGTTTTACTTCTTTTTTTTTTATTCACAGGGTTTCACAGTACACTCCAGACATGAGTGGAGAGGAAGTGGAGAAGGCTTTTCGTTTGGCCCTAAAGATGTGGAGCGATGCAACTCCACTGAGGTTCATCAGAGTCAACCACGTCAACGCTGACATCATCCTCTCCTTTGCACGCAGAGGTAAACCAGAAAAACTAATTATTACAAGCTTTCTCTTTCATAAAAACTGGACGCTTGTTGCAGTTTTCCTTCTTTGWATGAGGACATGTCTGTTTCTGTAGCTCATGGAGATTTCTCTCCTTTCGACGGAGCCGGTGGAGTGCTGGCTCACGCCTTTCAGCCAGGAGAGGGGATTGGCGGAGATGTGCACTTTGATGAGGATGAAACTTGGACTTCAGGAGGACAAGGTTGGTTTTCTAAGAATGCGACTTTAACTCTGAGAGAAATGTTATTTTCATACCATGACCCTGAATTTTAAACATTGCATCACTTTTGAATAAACGTGTCACAGTACTTACAGATCAAACTATTGTTGTCTGTCTTGTATATCGTACTCCTGGCACAGTCCAGTTAGTCCAGTTCTCAGCATCATTTGCAGGCATACTAATGTAGATGTTTTTTTGTTGCTGTATTTCAGGTTACAGCCTGTTTGCTGTCGCAGCTCATGAACTCGGTCACTCTCTGGGTTTGACTCACTCGTCGGACCCCTCTGCTGTCATGTACCCCAATTACAGGCACCGCAGCAGTACACAGTACTCTCTGTCCTCTGATGATGTCCAGGGGATCCAAACTCTATACGGTAAGGGACATTTTAAATGGCCTTAAAAGTTGAAGTGAGGTTTTAAATCGGTTCCACAATAAACACAATGTCCTTCATGTTGCCATTTCTCAGGGAAACCCAACAAAAATGCTGAAACCAAGCCGAGTGCTCCTAAAAAATGCGACCCCGTGTTTTCTTTCGACGCGGCAGCAGTAATCAAAAATGAGATCATTTTTTTTAAAAACAGGTACAAAGTGAAACACTGTAAACAATTATTAAAAAACATCATAAACACTGTTAAACTGAAACTGTTTGTTTTAGAAACATGTGGATGAGAACAACAAAGTCAACGTATTGGAATCGCCTGAGAGAAGGGCCCATCAGTTCCTTCTTACCCGACATTCATTCTCCTGTCGATGCTGCTTARGACGTCCCGGCCAAAGGCGTGGCGTACATTTTCACCGGTAGAGTATTGGGCCGTGTCAGCGTGARGAGGCTGGGTTTCCAGCAGCAGAACAGTGTTAAGCCCAAATTACAGCCTTCAGAGTCTCACTGAGTTTGGCAGTGTTTGTGGTGTGGTTTTGTTTTTTTTTGTTTTTTTGTGTGTGTGTATGTGTATGTGTGTGTGTGTTTTTGTAGACATTCATGCACACGGCTGTTTGATTTCAGGTTACAAGTACTGGGTGGTTCAAGAGCTGAAGATGAAAAGTCGTTCCGGCAGCATCTACGAGTTTGGTTTCCCCTCCAGAGTCAGGCAGGTGGATGCTGCAGTTCATATCCCTGAACATGGAAAAACCATCTTCTTCACAGGACAGTTTTACTACAGGTGACTCATTAAACACTCAATTTGTTTCATACATTGGGGTGCAAAAGTTTGGGCAGCCTTGTCAATTTTCCTGATTTACCTTTGTAAATCATTAATTGTTTGGATAAAAAAATAATAATTAAATATATCGTTTAGGGGACAAATACAGTGATATTTGAAAAGTGAAATGAAGTTTCTATGATTTACAGAAAGTGTGCAATAATTGTTTAAACAAAATTAGGCAGGTGCGTAAGTTTGGGCACCATAAAAAACATAACTCAATATTTAGTAGATCCTCCTTTCGCAGAAATAACAGCCTCTAAATGATTTCTATTGACAGAACACAGGCAGGAAAAAACCCAGGGTGCAGGCGAAGTTCAAAAAGAAACAAATAGGCTTTAATAATAACTGAAAAGGCTGACAAAGCAGCTCAAAACTCATTTGCTTGGAACAGAGGAAAAACACACGGGCACACAGACAGAACAGGAAACACTGATCTGACAAACACTAATGACAAGACAGAATATAAAGCAAACTAATTAAGAATTATCAGAAGAGTCGTCCAAGAGCCAAGGAGCACTTGTGGAGAGCTTCAGAAAGACCTGGAATTAGCAGGTACGATTG